GGGGAGTGGGAGGGGCACAGAAAGGAGTGGGGCCAGAGTGAGTTCTCCACTTGGGCGAGGCCACGCCCCTGACCCTGCCTTTGAAAGGGACAAAGCCAAACAGCATAGATATTTATAAAGGGTCTTTATCCCCAGGCCGGGAATACCCGAGGGGTGAGGGATGGGGTTGGGGCATGGGATGGGGTGCGGGTGGGGAGGCATGGGCGGTGGGAGGAGATGGAGGAAAGGTAGCTATTGCCCCTCGCCTCCTCCCTCCCCCTCGCCGGACACACAGTTTTCCGTGGGATGAACACAGAAAGGGTTAATCAAAAAGAGTTCGATGAGCGAGTCTGACGGTCGAGTGGGGCGGGCTGGAGCAATGAAGCCGCAGGTCCCGGTGGCCGGTGGTGATGGAGTCACTTAGAAGATGAGAGGTTGGTGGTTTTGAGGGTGGGGGAGGGGGAAGAAGCGGGTAGGGGAGGGGGATTAGGCAGTCCCCCCCAATTATCTCTGTGAGGCAAGAGTATCCTGGACTGGCTGTGAAAGGGTTAAAAAACCAGCCGCCTTCACCACCACCACCCTCGCCGAGACTCTCCCCACGTCCCTCCCGGCCACCCATCAGTCCCCCACCCAACAGGGCGGAGGGCACTGAGACGGACCAGACACGTAACGGCAGCGGCGCCACGGAGGGAAGCCCCCTCCACCAAGGCGTCCAGGCGGCTGGCTGCAGTGGAGAGGGATCGCGATAGCAGGGCTGGATGTCGCGACTCCAAGAGAGCCGTAAAACCAGCGTCCCTGGCCCGCAGTACCCGAATTTGGGCATCGCGATCCCGTTCTCCCCATCGTGACATCCAGTTCAGGCTTTCGCGACAACCTGCCTGGGGGTTCTGGATGGCGGGGGCAGGTGCGCAGCTAACAGCGAAGGCCTGACTGGCTGTGGCGATAGGTGTGCACCCAGTCAGCAGCCTGGGCGCCCCAAATGCCATCCTCATCGCCACTCTTAGTTAATACTGTTTTTCCACCGCTCAGTCTATCACAACCTCTAATTCCAGTCTTGAAAAAGCAATAATCAACGCAGGGGAATCCACTCACTTTCCAAACAGTAGTAGGCCACCAATCAGAAACAAAATAAACAGGGCGTGGGGTGGAGGGATAGGCAGGAGAAACAGAACAAGGGGATGGTGAGTGGTTTGGGGTTGAAGAAGGGGAAAAGAAATACCACTTAGAGAAGAGTGGTACCATATTCTTCCAAGTATAGGTTCCCCCATCGTCTATTAAGCGGACTCTTACCAAACTCCATTTGGGATACCTATAATTCCCACCTACAAGTCCAGGGCAGGCGTTAGGGCGGATAAAAATGGCCGGATCTTTGCCTTCTGATCCCTTAATAATTATTGCCGTGCCGCCTCCTTACCCATGTAGAGATGGCTGGGACAGGGTGGAAGAAGGTGGCTGGGGCAGGTTGGCTCAGAGACCCCCTGAGATGGGGGATGAAGGAGGTGAATTTGGCACATTGAACCCCTTCTTCTCATAAGTGCTTTGAGGTCCTTCTCTCAAATCCAGCTGGCACCATCCTTCAGGCCAGAGGAGGAGGGGTTGAGCTTGTCTCCCCCTCCCCAGTTTCTACAGATTTGCCCAAAGGAGGCAAGTGGGGTTCTCCCTGGCTGGTGGAAACTGGGGGGAATCCAAAAGATTAGGGATTAGTTGAAGGGAACTTTTTTTTCTCTCTTTTTTTTTTCTTACAAAGATTCTAAGAAAAGCTCAGGGGTAGGAGGGCTGAGGAAGGGGGACCCAATTGAGCTAAGTGTCCAGAGACTTTTTCAATGCCTCTTAGGGGTCTCCTCAAAGAGAGATGGTCCCACTTCCTCCCCTCTATCTGAGGTTCCCTCCCCCTAGAGCGGCTCAGTTCCAAGGAAGTTTGGCACTTTTTTTTTAATTAACGGGGAAACAGAGTAAGGGAGGGGGTTGAGAGTGGAAGAGAGGGAGAAGACAGACACAGACAAAGATAGAGACAGGACAGGTAACAATGGAAGACACAGGGAGAGAAAGGAGAAAGCCACTGGGAGCCAGAAAGGGGAAAATGCTGGGCGCTAGGGGTGGGGGGTGTTGGGGGCTGGAGGGCAAATGGGAAGGAACAAAGAGACAATTCAATGCAGCAAACACTTATTAAGCACCTACTGGGTGCTGAAGAGCAGGGTGCAGGGAGGCCACTCAGAGTCTCTGAGATCTGATTGGCTAACAAAGAAAAGGAGAAAAAAAAGAGGTGATGGGTTTTTCAATGATCCCCATCCCTGACCCCACATCTATGTCCCCTCTGGACAAACTGCAGCACAAAAGATTGAGGTCAGATTGCAGAAGGGACTTTTAAGGGATGGGGAAGACAGGAGAGTGAGTTTCCTAGGGTAAAATGGGAAAAGGGGTGTGGCTCTCCACTCACCAACACAGTGAGTGAACTAGCTCACTGAGCTAGCTAACTATCTTTCATATAGCCCTGGCTGGTGGGGTAGGGGGTCCCCAAAAAATGTGAATAGGGAGGGGGCTGTCACACAGATACCCCAAGGGAACACTTTTCAAGAGGCCCAGCCTCCAGAGACGTGTCTGTGTGAGAGGAGTACTGGACCCCGCTGACTGGGACCCAGAAATAGGTCTACAGAAAGCATCTGAGAAGCCAAGGGCAGCTGAGGATGCAAATGATATGCAAATGAGTGCTTTCAAATCCCATCTCCCTACTCCCAGACCCTACTTCAGCTCTCCCTGGCTCCTTCCCCTCCTTCTGGGGGTCTGGGCAGTTGTAGGGGGTATAGTCCAGCTAGATACTGCAATACCCACGTGTGGGTGGAGATACTGTGAAATACTGTAAAGTCTTTTGCGAGGTGGAGGGGGGCAATGGCCCACAGGGCCACCTCCACCTCTGACCCCAAGAGCCCCCAACGACAGTAGATATGTACAAAGTTACATCAAGAATTGTTTTGGCACTCAAATCTCCATCTGGGTTCAGTCTGGAGATTAGGGGTGGGGGCAGCAGCAATGGGAGGTGAGGGATGGGGAAATGGAGTCTGCCCCCCACCCTGGAGATGAAGAGGGCATGGAAAAAGTCACCCTAGTGCCCAAGCTACAGCCTCCCATCAGGTGGAAGGGCTGGGGTGGGAAATTCAGTGCAAGGTACCTTGAAGGCTATTGCTTTCTAGGGATTTTCACATTTTGATTTGGGGGTGGCTCTTTAGCGAGGGGCAGGGGTCTTCCAGGCTTTAAGGGTGGGAATTGTCTCTGGCTTTTTTTCCCTTCTTTTTTGGGAGAGAGACGAGGAGGCCGGATTCCCCTAAAGCCATGGAGAAAGGAAGGGTCTGGAAGACCTAGGAGGGGGACAATTGGGGGAGAGGGTGGGCATGGGGTGCCCCTCCCCCAGAGATGCTGATGATGGAACCAGGGCACGGAGGGCCCTGCCTTGGGTTGGAGGAAGTGGAGCTGGTCTCCATGGGGGAGGGGGAGATGGACAGGGGTAGAGGTGGGTCTCAGCTATCCTAAGTCCATAGAGTTGTCAGGCCCCAAAAACTCAGCCTGCCAACAAGGTCTTAGAGCTGACCACAGCCACAGTGCCCAGGGAGCCACTCACAAACCAACTCTCGGGGCTGCCTGGCTTGGCAGACTTCATCAGAACATTCTAGGTCCTCAGAGCCTATGGTGAGAGCACCAAAACATTCTGATCCATCAGACACCACCAGAGTACTCCAGCTTGCTGGAAACCACAAGTCAATCTAATGCATTAGACCACACGAAGCATTCTGGCTCAAGAGACCCTGCCATGGCTCACTGAACGCTCCTGGGCCACCGTGGCCTGACAGAGCCACCATACATTTGGCTCACCAGACTTATGAAACAAAGCCACGCAGACACAAGCATGCACACAAAAGGCGGGGGTGGGAATGGGGGTCTTTAACGGTTTTCACTAGCGTCATCTCCCACCCTTCCCTGCCGGGTGAGTCAGACTTGGTGTGTTTGAATGGAGATGACCCTGACAGTAGTGGGTCTTTTTCCTCAGAGTCCTCCAGATTAGATCCAAGTCCCTCCCCTTATTCTCCTCCTAGGAAGACCCCCAAGCCAAGACTCACCGAAGAGGGGTGTGGGTAGAGAAGGAGGAAAAGTGACTGGCCATGGCCTGATACAGGAAGTGCATGCGTCACCCTGATGACATCACAGGAAGTAACATGCCCCCATGATATCATGGAAGTAACCTTCAAGGAAGGCCCATTGAAACCTCATAGGAAGTACCTGTCTCTCCTGTCACAGGACATGACCTCTGGTTGCAGCTACTTCCTGTGACATCACAGGGAGTGCCAGAAGCACTCCTAGAAAGTACTTGACTCAGTGACATCACAACAGGGATCTTCATACCCATTACTCTAGGAAAAGCCACAGGAGATGCCACAGGAAGTTGGTCTAGCCTCTCGCAAGAGTCTTACCCACCAGACTGGCCGAATCCCAGAGCCGGCCTCATTCCCAGCAGCACCGCACACCCCCCACACCCCTTTACCACCTGACAACAAGAGTGAAAAGTTGCACCTAGGAGGGGCAACTCCAGTGGGGGGAGATTAGCTGAGAAAATCTGGGAACTCTGGGGTCCCTGCTCCAAACGCCCCATTTCAGCTCAGATTCCTCTGCTCCCTCTCCTCCCATCATTTCCCTCAGATCTGGAGCTGGAAGCAGGAGAGGTGGGGTGTAGTTTCAGGGAGGCCCCTCATTCTAGGTGACCCAGAGGCTCCCTCCCCTCCTCCCATATGGAAACAAAAACTTATAAAGGGGGAAAAAATCCTTATCAAAGGGGAGGGGAAAAAAGGAGGGAAAGAAAGAGAAAATAACGCTTTGTTTTCTATTAAAATCAACAAAATGCAATATATACAGATATCACACAGACCTGGGCCCTGGGAGAGGAGGGTCAGGCCCAGTCAAGCATAGGGAGGAAGGAAGGAGGGGTCAGTTCAGGGCTGGGGAGGGAGCTTCTGGGCCCCATCCCCAGCCATCACTCAATCCTGCCTATGACTACCAGAAAGGAGGGGTGCAGTCAGGCCTACCCCAGCCTCATCCCAAGAGAAGCAGGACTATACAGAGCTGAGGTCAGGAGTTGGGGGTGGGCGGAGGAGAA